ATGTCACCAAGAGTCACTGTCTCATTATATGATTTTTACCACATTAACAGATATGTATAAAATTCACTTTAAACTCAGAAAAACGCCAAAAATAGCAGAGCTGTAAAAAACACGTCCGAGCTTTAGCGCGCTTGCGTTTTCGCCCATATGTGGAAATGATGGCCTTCACAGTGGTCACCGACCACGCGAGCCTGAAGTGGCTGATGTCTCTCCGCGATTTAAACGGACGCTTGGCTCGATGGTCGCTTCAATTGCAATGCTATGACTTTGAGATCGAACATTGCAAAGACACCGAAAACATTGTGGCGGACACCCTTTCGCGCTGCATCGAGGAAGTTACTGCCAGTGAATACCCGGTATTATCTTTTGACACAACTGAGTTCGAATCAGAGAAATACCAGGAACTAAAAAAAGAAATTGAAAAAAATACAAGCAAATTACCAGATATAAAAATCGAAAGCGGCTATATTTTTAAACGTACCGTGTTTTCCAGAAGTGATGAGGAGCAGGAATTCGCCTGGAAACTGTGGATCCCATCATCGCTTACATCAACACTCATAGCCGAAGCACACGAGCCGGAGAGTAAGGCGCATGGCGGGATAGGTAAAACGCTGCATAGACTCCGTCGGTTTTATTATTGGCCAAGGATGGCTTCCCAGGTCGGTAATCACATCAAAAACTGCGTGGTATGTCAACAGTGTAAAGCCCCTAATCACACCTTGAATCCAGGTATAGGAAACGAAGTAATAACAGACAGGCCCTTTCAGAAACTATACGTCGGCTTTTTAGACAAATACCCGCGGTCTAAAAGAGGCAACGCGTATATTTTTATTGTCCTGGATCATTTTTCAAAATTAATATTTTTGAAAGCTATGCGCGAGGCCACCGCGAACAATGTGGTCTCATTTCTAACACAAGAAGTATTCAATAAGTTGGGTGTGCCAGAAACATTGCATTCGGACAATGGCAAGCAATTTATAGCGAAGGAGTTTCAGAAAAAGATCAGTCAATACAAAATTAAACACCTAAAAACCGCCTTTTATGCTCCGCAGTCCAATGCCGACGAGAGGGTCAATCGGTCGGTATTGGCTGCGATAAGATCGTACCTAGACGAAGACCACCAGGACTGGGACCTCTACATATCGGAAATCTAATGTGCTCTTCGCACCTCGGTGCACGCAGCCACGGGCGTTACGCCCTATTTTGCGTTGTTCGGACAGAACATGTTCACGTCAGGAAATGGACTATATGCTTGCGCGGAAATTGCTGTCGTTAGGCGCCGTAGAAACAAATATTGTGAACCGCGAAGATAAACTGCAATTACTGCGCGAAAAAATTAAAAGTAGATTACATACTGCATATGAACAAAGCGCGCGGCGATACAATAAACGAAGTCGCGCAGTGCACTTTAGACCCGGTCAAGAGGTGTACCGACGGAACTATGTGCTTTCCGACTTAAAGAATAATATAAATGCTAAATTTTGCCCCAAATACAGAAAGTGTCGCATCGTCAAGCCCATAGGCAACAACATGTTTGAACTGGAAACACTACAAAGCAAGTCATTAGGAGCGTGCCATACCAAAGACCTAAAGCAATAAGTAGTTTTTTTTTTTTAATTTTTATGCCCGGCTGAGTCGGTAGAACATTAGCCATAATTATCTCAGGGTGTGGACGTGACCTGCGCTGGACGCCTTTAACAGATTTTAATTCAAAGTACCTTTTTAGTAAAACAAAGAAAGTAATAGATAGGCCGTATTTCAATAGTGAGGCTGCACACGAATTTCACCACCTTATCAGGCTTTCGTCGCAGCTGCAAGCCGATAA